TGAATGTGAACTGCTATAGAACGGACAAAAAATCATGAATCAATGCTGGAAATTTTGGACTGAATACTGGATTTTCATTATGTACCACCTAATTGTGTGAACCAACTCATCTCTTGATGAGTTCATAGAAATAGAGTTCTGCTTTACTGCAAGCACATAGATAGAACTAAGTCGATACAGCACTAAATAAAATCATATAAAATTACTTTTGAAATGGGGGGGGGGGAATTTTTTCCCGACATATCATTGCATGGATAGGAGCCGTTAATATTGTTCATATAAAGTGATTTGTTCAATGAATGAATTAACGTGTATTGGGATTATGGCTTGGATTATTTCTTTAATTAAATATATAATATAAATTCTTTTTCTTAAAACTTTTATTTTTACTTTTATTTGAGAGAAGGTATATATATATGTACGAATGACTGAGCGACCAAATTCAACTAAGGTACCGGCGACTGAATATCGCCCGCTTATACTATAATCTTTTTGATGTGGTCTTCTCCACACATCAATCAAAGACGGTCATTCATCGTGTTTTACCATTGTATGCTACCGCCGGTGTGCTCTAACGACATCGGCGATAATGTATCGCGGTATTTATAAAATATAGTTTATATTATCGCCGTTACACGTTTAAAACACCGGCGAAAATGTAATCTGATATTTTCGAACCTCAGTCCTATGTAAACAATAGATTAATTTTTGTCCGAAGCTATAGTTACTTTTTCAACAACGTGAATTAACGTTTATCGTTTTATATGAAAAAGTAGCGTTTATCGCACTCTTTTCACATCAACATTTATACTGTCGTTCTATTATACTTCTACAGATGTCTCACAGATGTCATTGTTTTGTTTATAATTTGTTTCACATTTCATTTGTTTAATTAGTAGTTGTCTTAACACTAAAGCTACCGTGGCGATCGAAATGAAGTTTGTTATTTTAAAATCGCTGAAATTATAAAGAGTCTTTCGTTAACACTATAAACCTACCGCGATCAAAGTGACCGCCTTCTTATTTTGCAATTTTGCAAAGTTCCGAGACTCTTTCGTGGAAAACGCTTGAATAAGTTATACAGGGTTCCCCGGAAAGAATCATCCGATTTCAAAAATTTATATTTTAAAAAATTACATACAGAAAATTATAATTCAAACACGAATATAACGGGAAAATGTGTGAGTTTATTGGATTATTTTCTCTCTTTTGAATACTCAGAAGTTTTTCCTTCTAGCATATAAGTTACAAAAAAGAATCGACGCCGAGAGTCTCGCCAGAGTACCATTAGATAAACAATGATTTCATATGTATATAGAACAGAGTGCTCTTTGTCTTTAGGTGACGTTTTTGGTTTCGTCTTTGTGAATAGTCTTCAGTCTCCTGGAGCAATCAGGAGAGTAAAGACGGTCCTTCCTCGTACATCAAATTAATAAACTAAAAGGGATAAGTTTAATTCACTGCGTTTTACTTTTATTTATCTACCCATTTCCAATAGAGTTTTTGTTTACAAGTGTTCAATATGACTTCCTTTCGTTACACGTATGATATCATTGCGATATGAAAGTTCTTGCCAAACACGGTGTAATGTATCTCTGGTAATTGTTTGTACAGCATCACAAATGCGTTTTTTCAGTTCATTTACACTTGCAGGTAAAGGTGGTACAAAGACAAGATCCTTCACAAATCCCCAAAGGAAGAAGTCGCATGGGGTTAGGTCGGGTGATCTCGGAGGCCAACTGTGTAGAACCATATTATCGGATGAACTGCGACCAATCTAACGGTTTGGTAGTTCCGTGTTAAGAAAATTCCGTACCTCCAAGTGCCAATGGGGTAAAAAGTAAAACTCGCACATTTTCCCGTTATATTCGTGTTTGAATTATAATTTTCTGTGTGTAATTTTTTAAAATATAAATTTTTGAAATCGGATGATTCTTTCCGGGGAACCCTGTATTACTGGAGCAAGTCTTATAATAACAACTTTACAAATTCCTAATAAATTCGGTCTTCTCACTTTTGTGAAGCAGTACATGCCAGTTAGTATTATTGCTTGGTAGGTTTAGTGTTAAACAAATTATTTGATGCAAACACATATTATAATAGAACTGGCAAGATGTCCAAATATATTTAATCTTGTAATCCTTGTAAAGCTACACGTGTCATGTCAGACATCTTTAGTGTTCAATAGGTTTAGTGCTAACGACGTCCCATACGTTCGAGGTAACTATCGTTACTTGAAATCGATAATTTCAATGAAGCTATGAGAAATTCGTTTATGTAATATCATTCATTGGAATATTACTGTTCACTCGTTAAAACTTTTCGTGCATTCCATTGTCCGTTTGACATAATTATCAAAAATTCGAAAATGTTAGGGAAAATCTCAGTCGAACATTATACGAAGTCTGAAAACAGTATAGCGAATTAAATCCGAATTAAAATCTGCAATTTTTAAATCTGTATACAACAAAAAAGTGTCTTATTATTTTCTCAACACGAAATTTTTTTTTTTTTTGTATATGTTGAAAAAGAAACTTTAGCCTCGGACAAAAATTAATCTATAGTTTACTTAGGACTGAGATTCGAAAATATCAGTTTACATTTCCGCCGGTTCCGTCAGCGCGCACCGATGGTGATGTAAACTGTATATTATAGATACCGCGATGTATCATCGCCGGTGTCGTTAGAGCACATCGTGCTCTGACTGTTAGCGATCCCAGTATCGCGTATACAATGTAAAACGCGATGACTGACTGTCTTTGATTGGTGGAGAAGACCACACCAAAAAGGGCATATAAGCAGGCGATTTTCAGTCATCGGTCTCTCAGTTGAATTTGGTCGCTCAGTCATTTCGTACATATACCTTCCCTCAAATAAAAGTAAAAATAAAACTTTTAAGAAAAAGAGAATTAATATCATATTCATTTGAGAAATAATCCAAGCCATAATCCCAATAGTATAAATGACACATTGAACGATTTGTTCACTTTTTTCATATATTATTTATTTATTTTACTAATAAAAAAAATAGGCCTAGGCCCTTGGAGTACAAAAAATTAAAAAATAGAAACATAGAATTGTGTTACAGATCAACGATGACGCAAAAGAAAGAAAGAAAAAGGAAAAAGACTAAAAGTAAAATTGAAAGTTGTTGATCAGTCTGGCTAGTGAACGTACAGAAACCTTTGGATCGCAGGTGAAAAAGTTTATCCCAGCGGTATGACAATTTGCTAAGGAAAGAATTCTGTTCATAGGGTCCGAATTAGTGAATCTCGAGACAGGTCATTTTGGCAAAAATAATGATGATGATCTTATTGACGACCTCGGAATATTAAAATAGACGTGTCCTAAAATAATAGCGTTATTTACAGCACCACTGATAATCTTATGTAGAAAGCATAAGTCACACATATCCCTCCTGTGTGTACCAAAAAAAATTTGGTAGCGACTCATGATATTGGAGTAATCGTGATCTCTAACGGGCATAGGAGTTCCCGTTTTAAATGCTAAATAGCGGAATGCTTTATGCTGGATAGTCTCCGGTCGATTACTTTTTTTTATTGTTAGTCGTGGCCCAAATTATAATTATAATCTAGTAATGAACCGACTAGTGAAATATATAAGTACCGGAAGGTAGCTGGCTTCTTAAACTCACTACAGCTTCTGGAAATAAATCCTAATGTTCTACTAGCTTTAGTAACCGTTTAGTGAATGTGGAAAGCAAAGGAAAACGTATTGGAGAACCAGACACTTAGATCGCGTACTAAGGATTTGGTAGGAAGTGACGAGTCCTGCAAGGAGTAGTCAAATGTTATTGGAGATCTATTCCGAGAAAATCTAATCACGGAGCACTTACTGATATTAAATTCCGTGCCGTTAAGGGAACACCAAAACTCTAGGTTAGATATGTCCTTCTGGAGTTTACGCAATCAATGGTTGAGGAAATGCTCGCTGTTTTCGATGACGGTTGAGACATCATTTATAAAATAAATAAATAAATGGATCAAGGTGGTAATCCTGGGGGACTCCAGACAGAAATAAAATTTTTCAAGAAATATTGTCACCTGTTCTAACAACTTGAGAGCCTCCTGTACGATATGGGAAAAGCCATGCAAATAAAGAGCCGTGTATATCAATCCCAGCTAGTTTGTCGATAAAAATATAATGGTCGACAGGATCGAAAGCCTTTTTCAAATCAAAATGGAGAACTGGATAAATAGTTACAGTAGACGGAAAGATTGGAGACAGTGGATCGATCCTTCACGAAGCCATTCTGGGAATTAGATATCAGGTTCGAAAAAATAAAATTAAGCATTTCAGTGACAATACTTTCGAAAAGCAATACATTGACAATACTTTTTTATTATGTAAAAACTAACGCCCGATTTTGTTGTCTATTCATTTTCCACGTATATGTATAAATAGTTGTTCGATTTTCGTGACAACGAAGCCTCAACTAAAGAAAATTTATTGGTTATTTTCGATTTGTTTTTTATATAGCGTCACTCCCTCCTCGGTTATATACCATCGATGATGGGACGCCCTGTATTATAGCTTGAACCCATTGCCGTCTAAAAAACGATTTCCGCGACCGTGCGATCACCTTGTCAGCGTATTTTTCAATTGCCCAATTTCCCGCCAAGAAATCACGCGTATCGGGAGTGCGGTTGCGATAGCGATGGAAGCACGCGTGCAGCAGCTGTGCGTCGCGTCGACGCGCGCGTACTACACGGTAAGTGCATAGTATAGAAAGAGATCGAGTGTAGTGAGACGCTGGCGTATAGACGTGTACTAGAGGGAAGGAGGAAAACAGGGGAAAGCCGGAGAACGGTTTAGGTAGCGTTGGTGGTGGATGCGATGGAGGATGGAATAGCGGTGGGTAGCGGCGGCAGTGGTGGAAGCGGTGGACGCGGTGGAAGCAGCGCAAAGCAGACACTGCGAGATCTGGCGAAGCGAGGGTGGAGGGGAGCGAGTGGCAGCGTAGCGGCTCGTTTAGCACGCAGGATCAGCTTGGGGGAGAGCCTCGCTTCGTCGCTTTTACCTCGCGCTAGCTAGTAGCTCCGCCGCATTCGTACGTGATACGAAAGACACGCGCCCGATAGAGTTGCGTACAGGTTCGTCGAATCGCTCCGAAATCGTCTGCGTGGGTGTGTTCTTCATTTCTTACTTTTCCCGTCTCGCTTTCTCTCCCTCTTCCTCTTTCTTTCTCTCTCTCTCTTTCCCTCTCTCCCTCTCTCACCCTTCACCACCCTTTCTATCCCTTGAACTAGCCTTCTCCCCTTGACTTCTCGACTCGACCCCTGTGGTCCTCCTCCGCCGTGCATTTTTCGAGCAAACCTTCCCTCTCCCCCTCACCCTCCCTACCCCTTTCTCTCTCTCCACTGTTTTCTCTCTTACTTCTTACGACTCGAGTTTCTCGTTTGCCAATGTGATCGATCTCTCCGCGCGCGTGGAGGCAGACTCGGTTGTCGGTGCACCTCGCAAGGGCGAAAGGCAACAATCCGCAGGCAGAAAAGGGACGGGAGGGTACCGCGTGCGTGCTGCTCGACGGTGTCGCGAGCGCCGAGTACGCACGCCCGTTGACAGGGACAGAGGTGAAACAGGACGCGATAGGACGGTCTAGGGGCGATCGTCGGCGACGCTGTGCCGTCATAAACGTTCCTTCGCAAACGGCCTTAACTGAGAGAAGGAGGAAGAGTTGACGAGAGAGCGGGCCGGAGAGAGAAAGCGAACACGAGAAAGAAAGAGAGAGAGAGAAAGGGCGATCACCGACAAGAGAAAGAGCTTACAGGTAGAATGTCTAAGCCGCGGTGTAGTACGGTTTAGAAGCTTAAAGAACGCGGCACGGCGACAGCACACACACTGCTGCGTGTCCGAGCGCGACGGTAATTGGCGTTGGTACATCTGCTCCCGCACCGGGAACCAGTGAACGAACCGAGAAATCCCTCTCGGAGGGAAGAGCGGACGAAAAAACTCGGCAAGAGAGATTAAAGAAGTCTGGAGCGAGGTTTCCGCGAAACACACCTAGCTGCTGAGCTCCGGAGTTTCCAGGCGAAAGTCGAAGCAAAGTGCCCCGGTGTAATCGTGTTGGAAATTCCACGAGGATTCGCTGCGATTCTCTTTAATCCTTTCCCTGCCGATTGCTCTCTTCCCCGATTGTCCGCGAGATTCGCGATACTTGTACGTTCTAGTCACTTCTAAGCTCTGTTTCTTGTTGTCCCGAGCACCCTCGGTGCGTCCTTCCAGGTCACGTGCTCCCGTGAACATACCCAAAGCCGTGCGAGCATCGTAATATCGGGTCTCTTCTTCGTCGTTCGCAGGACGTGCGGGTGCAGGACCTTCGGCGAATTGTGCGTGCGCGCGAGGGATAGCGCGACGGACAGGGTGCGAAGAGTGAAGTTGAAGTGCGCGGCTGTACAAAGGTTGTAAAGCGGTTGTACGAATCGGCGTCGTGCGGGTGTGACAAGAGTTCGGTGTCTTTGAACTGGAGAAGTTTGAAGCGGTGAGAAATCCGCAAGCGGTGAACTCGTCCATTTGACTGTTAGGCCAACCGACTAGCCAGGCCAGTCGGCTCTAAACGCTCGAGTGCACCAGTTTGAGGACGCGAGTTTTTCCGTTTCCGTGGCGTGGCGTGGCCTGCCGTGGGTTCGTCCTTGTCCTCGTCTTCGTCCTTGTCCTCGTCCGAAGTCATACAGCCGAGGAGAACCTGCAATTTCCACGAAGCTGCGTCCGAAACGGTCCGCCTTGCTGCATCCGCTGGAGTCCGTACGTTGATCAGCCGGTAAGATTCGCTCTGTGCCTCGCAATTCGTTCGTCGTTGCGACGGAAGACGACCGTTCGACGGAATCTGTATTCCTCGGCTATTATGCAATGCGAGGCGTCGCACGGCGGTACTTGTTTCCAGACAGTTGGCCGAAATGCAATTTTCGGTGCATGTAACAGCAAAAACGGTGCTGTAGTAGGCTCGTATGTACGTGTTGTATACATTTCAAAGCAGCAACTGACGTATGAAATTTTCGAATGTCATTTTATATATTAGGTTGGAAACTATGAAACAGGCGTTGAATGATGTAAATCGCGTTTCGTTTCCATCTGGTTTCGGAGAAAAATAAAATAAAAATGGGATACAAGCGCGAAAAAAGTTTTACGAAATGAGTAAGAATACCATTAAAATTTATAAATAAAAATATCGAGCGCACATTATAATGAACACAGTCGCAGCTGAACACAGACTAAACAAAAACGTCCGTTTCATAGTTTCCAACCTAATATATATAATATTGACCGTCAAAGTTGACGAATTCTCCTATTTCGTAATTATATACGATATAATATAATTATATATAACCAATTACCTGTTTCTTTGTCGAGTATGCTCGTCATACAGAAATGGCAGTATTTTGTAGTAATTGCAATTTTAGTGAAAACTAATATATATTCGTAAACTTTAACATGTTTAAACATTTGGAGGCCAAGAGGACGTAAAACGAGCAGATACAAAAACATAAATAGTTATTGTGAAAAATCTGTATATAGTGTTTAGGTTAGGTAGTATACTCGTTATCGTCTACGATCTATTTACAGGAAATGATTTTTGACAGGAAATGATTCAACAAATATCTTAATCCAGGCATACATTATGATAAAAATGGTAAAAAGTTTTAAGAGCCTGATGTAGAAAGACATAGAATTATTTATAATTTCCTTAAACAATGTTCAGAAAGAATTTTTTGAGTAAGAATTCTGCTAAATAAACTATCTGGTTGAAAGCATTAATAAATAAATAATTAATCATTTCTGTGCTCGATAAGTTTAGTGATAATTTAGTCAACTATCATTTCCAATCGAAAAATTATAACCGTTTTCTGCCCATTTTGAAGATATCGAAGTTTAAAGTATCAGGTAGTGACTGGATTTTTATGCAAAATAGAAGTTGTCCACCTTAATTACAACGAAATAAAGTAAAATAAAAGTTTTTTTTTTTCTTAGTAGCTCTAATAGGTTGAAAATAGTGTAACAGTGTTCTGAAAGTATTTTAATCTTTCTACTGTTTTGTATTCCACTTACATATTTTTATCAGGAATGCATAAAATCTGCAGTCTACTTGTTACCTAATTGCCAAACATTGGAAAATTATTGATATTTACAAGAAATAAGGTAAAAACTGTCAGCGATGTCTGATTTTCCATTTTGAGTTTTGTATTTTTGATAATATATTTAAATTCAGCAACCTCGAAAATATAATACAATACTGATTTCTATGAAAGTCGTACGAAGTTACGAATTGTGACCAACCATTTGGGAAAAGGTACCACTATGCGACGTAATCAAGAAACACTCGAGAGATTAGGGTGTCCTCTCCAGTGGATATACACTTAAACTACGTGTTTGTTGGAATGATCATCCGCAAATCGTTATTTAAACCCCTCAATGATATTATCGTAAGCGTACTGTTTGACTACTAATCTTTCCGGTGCTGTCTACAATGAAAAACTCGATGAAAGAAATATTTACGTTTTATACTTGCTTTTCGTTGTTAATGTCATTCAGATCGTATTACTTGGATTTACATTTTAATGATGTTATAAATCATATAAAGACCAAGGTAAATTAAATTTTTTATAAATACCGCAAATTAAACAATCTGGCTCTTAAGATTAAAAATAGTTAATGTTCATACATCGCTGACCAGATTGTGTAATTTTTTGATCGAAATAGCTTTTCCTGATTACAAGATTTTGCGACAATAGTGTCAAAAAAATCAATGAATCAACAAAATCGTTTAACCAGGTAACTGTAGCGACCTCTTTGGGAAGTATGTGTACCTTAAATATGTCGCAGAAAGTAAGAAATTAGGATTATATTACCTAACTTAGGCACATATAATTTTTTCATAATAATTATTTATATTTTTGTACTTGTTCGTTTTATTTCTTCTCAGTAGACAGTCACCTTACCCACTCCGGCAATCGACGAATGTTGAAACATGCATAAATATTGAGGTATATATCGCGATATGCATATCACAATTTTTTTTTCTCTTAAATCGTATTTTTTAGGTTAAAAAATTGCTTGTTTCAATGTAATAATGTTTAAAAGTACTTGATCTATACTTGCGATATAAACCCAATAAGTAGTAACTTTCTTCCTCACAGCAAAAACGTCGACAAACATTTTGATTCTTTTTTGACGATGTCGCAGTTCTGCAAAAAATCTGAGGAGAATTGAGCGCACTGCTTGCGATACTACCTTATCAGAGAATTAATTTCAGGTTGGCTTAGTATTTTTGTTTTCGAGATATCTTCAATTTTCAGATTATTTTTAGTTTTCCATTTCCGATAACCACAACTTGCAACCGAAAAATCTGAAAAAATTCTTGATGTCCGAAATAAGCCACATTTTTTTCAAAATCTTAAAAAGTCACCGAAGGAGGAAAATAGGCGGAAAAGCACCCAAATTTAATTTGCCCTGTAACTACCCTCACGGACAAGTTACAGGGTTGAAATTTTGCATAGATGAGTTTTTCTTGATCAGCTATATCGAACGGTATAATACTCATTAAAAAACCTCTAAGGGCAATTTTGACTATCTTAATCGGCTAGGCCCTAGGACAGCAAATTTTCATGCGCGACGAGTATACTGATCATAACGCAAGATATTGCCATTTCTTCACGACGAATATACGCTTGAAAGAGTTAATATTCAAACATCTCTGAACGGAATTCTAACATCTCTTGAGAGTTATAGCTTCTTTGAGTACAAGATATTGCGAGGAATACGTCAAACGATCAATGAATAAGTGAAAATGTTCAATGAGTAATTCTCCAGTGAATGATATTGTACAAACGAATGTATCATAGTTTCATTGAACGTTCCTTAAAATACAAATTATAGATTTCAAGCAGTATTATTTATCTTAAAACTACTAATTAAACTGCTAATTAAACAAGTAAAGTTGGAAACAATTTATAAGCAGAAACAAAATCACATCTACAAGACATGTGTAGGTGTACAGTAGATTTACTGTATAAATTTTTTAACATGAGAATGATACGATAAAGTTACTTTTTCATATGATACAAAAAACGTTTATTCCCCCTGGAGGGTGTTTAATTAACTGCACACATCACCCTGCTTGCATTCAATCGACGAACAACGAACAATCATGCCTCCACTTTAAAAACGTTTATCATCAAACACAAGAAGAAGACCACTTTCAAAACTACTCTGCTAGCAATATTATGGTAGTAATATACATAAGGCAGCTTGCGGGATCAAAAATAGTAACTAAAACAATCCGTTGTTTCTTTTTAACGAGTCGCTTCGAAAGGTTTGCATTCGATTCTGTTCTATATTCGGTACCGTTATCGAAAAATTTGAAGCGACTGCATAATTCATGACGGTCCGCTATTTTCCTCTCGTCCATCATTTCAGATTCCCTTGCCATGCTCGGATCACCTTACTCCCGCGCTGAAAACTTCTTCGAAATTAAAGTTACTGGAAAAAGAGCGGTAGTATTTTTGCTCTCACGTCGTAGCCGCACATTTTCGTTCCGACGATTATTACATTTCCATCGGTAAAGCTAATCCGAGTGAGTGTGGGGCGTCACGGATGGCGAGTTCGACCATCTCTTACGTTCATTTAGGTGCACGTCGGAAAATGATCGCGCGAAAATGATTCCGGCGGAATCGATTTGCGGTTTCAATCTCTGTAAATACATACAGTGATGTGCACAATTATAGACATAAAGTAACATCTACATATTTAGCGATATTTGAACGATAACGTAACGAAATATCTATTATTACTAACGTTCTCTAAAAGAAAATGATAGTAAGTAATAAAAACGTAATATAAAGTAACTTTTACATTTTTTGTGATATTTAAACAAAAACTTAACGAAACATCATGTACGTATGTTTCCATATTAGAAATAATAGAAAATAGAAATATACGAATATGATAAATTGTCTTTGTTTAAATATCACCAAAAATATAAAGGTTACTTTGAATCTGTAATTATTCACACCACTGTATTACAACTAAAATATACAAATATTTGCAAATGCTATTTTTCTCA